AGTCTGTTGGTAGAAGGACATTGTGACATTAACCTCAATCATCAAATGAATCACTGGAACAAAGAGAAGACACCAAAGAGCCTTAAGAACAAGCACCTCTTCAGCACCTTTAACCCAACAAAGCTGACCGAACAACCACATTGCTTCTGACAGCTGTCACACCGAGGGAGAGACACTATCCTGGAATACTGTTCTTTATTGTGAGAGTGGCCGAGCCCAGAAGAATCAACACAACAGCAGGAACTGGTGTAAGCGGCCGCAGGCAGCTCCCTCGCACGCTATTACCCATTAACCCACCTCGGAGCCAGATGGAGCGCCGGGGGGACGAGCATTGGGCAGCCCGGATCTGCTCCGGAGATTTCGGCGGGCACCGCCTCAGACCCCTCGCGCGGGCGCCATCTCAGGCCACCTCAGCCCTCACGCGCGGGCGCCATCTCAGGCTACCTCAGCCCTCACGCGCGGGCACCATCTCAGGCCTACAGCAGGGTCAGGGGAAGGGACAGGTCACTGCAGGTGCTTCCCTTCTCATCCTACACGAGGCTTCACCTTCCCCACACCATTGTGGAACTGCCACCTCCAAACGGTCACCTAGGCTTGAAGGCCCACCCGGCTGCCAGGGATGATCCCTAGTGCCACCAAGGTGACCCGCTCAGTCAGACGGAACTGCTTAGGACGAAGTTCAGGAGTTAAAGCAAAGCCTCTTCCTTAGAACGGGTTAAAAGCCCTCTAAATTTCCGCAGGATGGTCAAACACCCGTTGATATTCCTGCTGGGGCAAACTCAGCAGCCCGTTAGCCACACGGTTACAACCACTCTGAAGCTCCCTGTTGTCCTAAGGGAGGGAAAGAGTTTCTCCTTTGCTCTGAAAACCGTCTCCCGTGTAGTTTTCYTACCCAAAGGCTCCACGTGATACCCGAGGGACGGTTCACGCCACCCCGTGCAGTTACTTTTGGCCTCACGGAGCTGGAACGCCGTCGTTCCCCTCGGGGTTCTGCCTCTCACTGGAGTCATGCAGCCAGAGCAGCTTACGGGAGCCCGCCCAAGATCCAGCTGGTCGAGGCAGACATGGGGGGCAGGCTCGCCCACCGCCCCACACGAGGGAAGGGCAGTGAGAGCCCTGCAGCTCAGGAGCCCGCGCAGCAGAACTCGAGCCCCAAAGGCGCCTCTGCGAAAGCAGCCTACAGTGTCTGCTGCGCCCTCGGGCAACGCGCGCGTACGAGGCCCCAGGCGCCATCCGGCAGCTCCTGGGACGTGCAGGACCTGTTGCCAGCTCCTGCATGTGCAGCGTAACCAACAACAGTCTGCCGAGGAGAGGGCAGGGGTGGTTACAGGCAAACCCCTGTGCACAGAAAGGGGAAGAGCAAATGCATGGGAGTGAGCCAAGATGCTCTCCAGCAGAAGATGGGGGTCCAAGCGCAAGAACCTCTGCAGCACCACAAAAAAATAAACAGGCTCCACCAAACCAGAAAGCCCTCACCTAATGATTAACCTTCCCAGGAGGGAAACCAAGGGAAACTCCTCTGGCAGCTAGCGAGCTGTGTCTAAGCCCTCATCTGGAAAAGTGAGCACAAATTGCGGTAATTCATGTTCCAAAGAACTGAGGTGAAATGAGAGCCAGTACACAAAAGAATTAATAAATCAGTCAGTGAAAGGAGAACCCTGGAGAGACTGACTTGCTAAACCTGGCAAACAAAGCCTGAAACAGGATGCAAGGGCTGTCTCCAAACACCTCCGGCAGGTAGGCAGATAGGGGGAAGTGGGACTGGCACATAAAGGCAGAGGCTTRTAAAATTGTCTTTTTGGCAGATAATCCAGAAACTGCCATCTGAGGGTGATTTTTTTGTTGTTGTTGCTTTAAACCAAGAGGTAGATACAGTTACGAAAGACACCCTGTGAAAGGGTGCCCGTGGAGGACRCGCCGGCCTCCTCCCGAACACCCTCCCGAGCAGCACACGCTGCCCAAGAGCTCCTGCCCTTCCTGGGAGCTCAGCACAGCTCCGCAAATAATGACACCTAATTAAAGGCGTCGGGATAAGCGAATGCAACACCCTGGCTGCAGAGGATCAGGAGCCAGTCATTTCGGCTGTGCTTTTAGCCAGAAGTACCCAGCGAAAGGTGAGACGCGGATTGCTGMTAAGGCAGCGTGGGTTTAATTGACAACAGAGCATCAAGGCTCTTGCAGGGAAGGAGCAGCCGAGGAGGAGACAAGTTAGAGCTGCCAGGAGCACCCAGCACGCCAGGCGACACCAGCACCCCGTCCCATCCTGGGGCAGAAGGGCCCCGCGAGCAGGGCTGATGTTCCAGTCTAGCAGGTAAAGGTTCAGGTCACATGAAAGGAGTGCGTCCTTCACCAAGCTTGCTGCTGTACAYGAACATATATAATTACATATTTTTTATATATATATATAAATAAAAATATCTCCTTACAGCATTAGATTATCTTGAGAAAGTCCTAATGCAGCTTCATCCATACATATAATCTTCATTTTCCATCCAGGGAAGCAAACAAGGGGAAAATAAATAATAATAATGATGATGATGATAAATAGTGCCTTGACAAAAACACCAACTTAAATGAGATGTGGAAGCAGGATCTAGTCTGGACTTTGCATATAATCCACGGCCAAAATAAATAAAAATATATATAAAAATATATATATTCTTCTTCAAATACTTTTATCAAAATCTGAAACGTTAGTAATGAAGTTTTCTACTTACTAGGGCACAAACCCTCATAATTTGAGCTTGCCATCACATGGCTGACGAAAGCTTGGATGATAATTAGAGAGTTAACACACTAAAGGTAATTGTGTAATCACTGGATGCTCAGTAATGCGGACCCAACGCTAAACACCTACAAGAAACGAGAGGTAAGAAAATACTGCATTACAACATGTCTAATTCTTCAGAAATCAAAAAGCTTAAATGTTAGTGAGAAATTGATAATGCTCGAGAAAATACTATTGCARTGGGTTCTGGATCACTCATTTTGCATAGCATTGCTGGTCAGAAAGTGACTGCTGCTTTTAAAAAGGCTCCTGGAGACACAGGTAGTTTTTTATGCACCTCAAAACAAGGGAAGTCCTGACCCAGTGAGTGTATTTTATATTCGTTACCGAGCAATTTGAGCATCTGAAATAACCAGACATCAGTACAAGCACTGGCAAGCTATTAAATATATTTTGAAGCAGGACACAGCCGTGACACTAAAGGTTGGAGCATTACTCCCGTTCACGACGGCGAGATGAAGCAAACGTGCAGCTTCTTGCGCTTGGCAACACCGAGAATCCCAAGCAAAGCACATCCAGTCAGCAGGAAATCTGCATCCCAGCCCACGATTCCGCAGCTGGATGCTGAGCAGCATGACAGCAAACGCACCCGTGCAGCACACGCGCCAGTTTGCCAGAGCGATCAGTTACGCTTCGAACATTTAACAAAACGCATCTCAAACGTGTTTGATATCAGCACCACGGAACACYGTCAGTAGTTTTCAACCGATGCAAGTTTCCAGTTGCAGGAGGATGAGGAACGGAGAGTCTCCAGTGCTTGACCGAGATGAGGCGCTTTGTCCAGTCACATGGAGCATTCCCGCTGCTTGTGGCTTTCCTTTCCAGTAGAGGCACACATTTATTTTCTTCACCAAGCGAGTCGTCCAGAAGTMACCTCCCGAGCGGCAGGAATTAGTCACGTTCATAACGCAACAGGCGCAGACACTTCAGCCGTGGCTGCAGCTGTGCAAGTTCTCCACCTTCAGCCCCTAATGGTGCCAACAGGCTCCATCAGCAGCYTTTCAATACAGGCCAGAACCCCAAACCACACATTTTCCTTAAGTTTCTCAGCGATAGCTGAAGATGGAGCCATCGTGCTGGAAACCCGGCTGAGCTGCCCTCCAACCTGTGAGCCCATCTCTGAAGAGCCACCCTATGGTTCCCTGCACGGATCTGATTTGCGACAYGCTCAGCCTGGTAGCACAGAGGGAGATGATGCTTTGCTACAGGAACAGGGGCCCAAAGTTTGGTCCTTCTAGCTCATTTGGCAGTCAAAACAGTAGCTAAAAGCAGCATACTCCTCCCTGGAGGAGGAGATTGTATCTATACCAAMGATGATGGGTAAAAATCATCATCTCACTGGCAAGCACGTCTTCCATTCATCTCCAACAGGGTCAGCAGTTCATCCCCTATGTTCAAACAGCAGGGGGATTGGAGTAGGTGATCTCCAGAGGTCTCTTCCCACCTTAACCATTCTGTGAAACCGCGATCTCATGAGCACAAAGTGACTCTCACTCCCAGGGGAAAAAAAAAAATACCATTTGATCGAAGGTGAATATTCCCAGCCCCGTGTTTGCTATTTAACAAACTTAACTGCCTTTAAGGAAAGGTTGATTTCTTCACAACTCGCCTCCACTGTTATCCCACAGGAATTCCTGTGGCGGATGCTCATTCTGGACTTTATGGTCCTTGGACTTCAAGACAGGATCACGCAAGAAAAAGAAACAAAACAGGGCACTCACAAAGCTGATAGAGAACAGCAGTAAAGGCCACGCGCTGCTGCCCGCAGTTACCCTCAGCACCTYGCTGCATTTCTTTCCGTGTTGATACTCGTCCCTATCTGTTTCAYCTGCTTGAGAAAACACAGGCAGCTTTTTGCTAAGGCATTAATACCAAAATAATCCCCAGTTTTGGTCTGCATCCATAGGAGAAACRCATCAAAACCCACGCAGGGAGTCATCGTGATGACTTCACATCACAGCAATATCCTAAACACCTCCCCTTTTTTGTTCCATTTCTGCCCAACAACCAGGCACACGGATCCCGTTTTTCCTTATATGCAAGCAGCATTCAAAAAAAACATAGTGATGGAAAACCTATATCCTCAAGGAAAAAAAAAAAAGAAAAATCAGAGACTCCCAGTTTTATTTCTCAGCTTTCTGAGAAATAATTGAGTTCCTCAAATTAATCTGGGTCTCCTTCCTTGTTTTTTGGTCTGTGCAGCAGTTACATTTTCAGTCTACCCCACAGGAAGGTGAGGCTAAAAAAACAAGTTGCCCTGCAGCACACAAGGTTATAAACGTTTATAGGGRCTCATCGTGCGAGTCCTCGCAGCCGCCTTTCCCCCTTCCCCATAAAGGCAGCAAACTGCCCCTCACCTCAGGGGCCGTAAACCACACACCTTCGTTTGCTTTGGGGAGGGGCTGCACTTGACGGGCTCTATTTCGGGCTCCGGACACCTCCTCCTCCTCTCTTCTGCTTCACTGCAGCCCTACAATCCTTGCCCCTTTTCAAATGACAATAAAACCTGATTTAAGTTGCTTTTAAAAGCACCTTGCGTGCGATACATTTATGGAAAACCAAAGTGATGCCGTGCTCAGCGCCCTAAAGCTGGCAAAAGTCAAGTCTAAGCCCGACAGCTACCGAGAGCCCAAACGTCCCCTCACGTCGAGTTGGCTGCAGTCCCACTTCAGGCTGGGCTCAAAACCTGCAGACGACCCTTCCAACCAGCACCCCAAAGATAGAGCTATCTTATTAAAGAGAATTGACTTACCTCTGCGGCTAACCTGCTCTGCTGGATGAGCTGATGCCTCCAGGAATTTTAACTCCTTTAACCCCATCCTCAACATACAGGAAAAAGAAGCAAAAGGGAAAAAAAACCCAAACCCGGATTATTTCATGCCCGCCCTAGGAAAACGAGCCAAGCAGCCAGTGCGAAGCAGCACTGAAGCAGTCCAGCCAGCTCCAGTCTGATAAAACGCAGGTTGCCTCAGCTCCTAACCCCCCCCGACAGTGCATGTGTAAGGCGAGTGACCTAGAAAATGCCTTATTCCCACATGTAAACACAGAGGCCCCCCGCGTCTTGCACCACAAAGCAACAACCCCGTCACGGCGCCGGCTTTCGTAACGTGCCGGCAGCTGGGCCAGCGGAGACGASCGCCACGTCACCGCCAGCTGAGAGTCCCCAGGGCCCTCCCGAGGCGCGTCCGTGTCCGCGCAGCGCCTCAGAGCTCGTCGGCAGCGGTGCTGTTGCTCCGGGGCAGCTCGCACTCCTCCTCGAAGCGGCAGTTCTGCAGGATGTCCCGGTAATAGTCCTTGAGGTCCGCGTAGAGCGCGAGGGTTCGGTTCGAGTGCTGGAAGGGCAGCAGCTGCTCGTTGAGCAGCATCTGCAGCTGGTACTCCTCGCGGGAGGTCTTGGCGTGGTCGCAGTGGTAAAGCACGAACACCAGGTTGGCCGCGTAGGGCACGATGCGGCCRCTGCGGAACTTGCGCTGCGCCTGCCGCGCGTAGTTGTTCGCCCTGAGCGGCTCCTCGTCTTTGAAGAAGCCCATGAGGGCGAGCAGCGGCTGCAGGGTCTCTGCGTGGCCGATCTGAACGATCACGGGCGAAGAAATGGGCTTTGAGCTAGAAGATAAAACGAGAGCCAAGGATCAGGAAGAGCCCTGGTGCTTCGAATGTGGCATTCGGGCACCCTGGGAGGAGATCCCGGACTTTTATTCCACTCTGCAGTATTCCACCCTGCCCTATAAAGGCCTGCCTGGGAACTTCTGTATTTAACAGGCTTTTTAAAAGCATCCAAGTTGAGGAAACCTGTAAGACATATTGTAATAAATATAGTTAGATACCATCAAATATGGGAAGCTAAAGCAAAGACCAGGCTCGGGATGCGCACCCGTGGTTCCCTCAGACCTCCTGGGTAAGCCCAATTATTTGCGCTGTTCCCGGTCACGGAAAGAGCCAATGATCACGTTACATTCCCCACGCTGGTTTGGGATGAAACAAAACCTGTTTTGGAATAGCATCGGCTCCTCCCGCTGGGAATTAAGGGCAGCAAGTCCTCAAACCAGCTGCGAGGCTCTGGGAAGACACAAACGAAGTCGAGCCCTTGGTATTATGTGGCTGGACTTGCTGCTGGGAAGACATCAGGACATCCCAATAGCTCCTAACTCCACTGTCAATGCAGGCACTGTCAACGCAGCACTCAGCTCAGTGAAACGAAAGCTTTTCTCAGCTGCTGCAACGCAGGACAGGCGACGACAACTGCATTTGGAGACGTAAATACAGGCTAATTACAAACCGAGCAGCACATTAGCCAACGAGGGCCAATGCTGCTGCCCCCTGACATAAGCACGACCCTGCGACTACGGGCTCAGCAGGCAGGTTGCTGACTTAGCCTTGGAAAGGCCTCCCCTCGTGGCACCCCAGCCACTGGCACAGAAGTCAAGGAGAGTTTTTCAAGCCACCAGCTTCTCTGCAACCAGCGGTACCTGGAAGTCGCGTTCCGAAGAGCAAGGGAGATCTCCAGGACCGGCAGCCCACCCGAGCTGACAGCCTTCCCTCTACACGCTAGTGGTTCCAGCGAGCGCTATCCCTGATTTCTGCCCACAAGGCCGAGGGCCGCGGCCCCTCGGCAGAGCCCCGGGAGCTGAGCAGCTTGCCGGAGGCCACGCTCATGGAGCGAGGAGAAGCTGGCAGCCACACGAGGAAGCGGTGGCCAAGCGGGGTGCCCGCCCCGTACCCATCAGACGGGTGGCTTCTTGGCACCCTCTCCGGGGGACTCTCCCAGGTCACTCGGGGGTGTGTAAACATACACTGAGCTTTCCCAAGACAAAAGGTGATGTTTTAGCAACGCCCCTGTGCCGAACGGGGCAGGGACGGCCACCCACAGACGAGGCACCTCTTGATTGGTCTGAAAAGGAGGTGTCTCCTCGGCTTGAAGCGACTGAAAAATGGTTAACCGAGGATCTTACTTGGAGGCAAGAACTTTGCTCGGATAAGCAGGGTTTTAGGAGGAACACGTGACGCGCTTGGCGTTGCTGGCTCCGTAGGGCTGCCGTGTTTGTGCAAGCTGAAACACTCCTTGCACAATCCCGCTCCCTGGGGAGCCCACAGGCCAGGCGAGAGAGGCCAATGGGACCTCCAAAAGGTTCTGCATGGAGACTGCGACCTGTTGTCCACCCCATCCCTCTGCTGCACCGAGACGGGCATTTACAGCCAACGCGGCGGCTTCAGCCCCTGCTCCAGCTCCTCCAAAACCAGAGATCCCGGCTGCATCGTTGCCCTTTTATTTATAATCTCCCTGCTCCGATTCCCTCCTGTTAAAGTCATAAAGTTTGGGGATCCTTGGACTCCTTTTGATTTCCCTTCCCTTCTCTCTTGCCTCCTCATTCTCATGATGGAATTCATGAGCTCCCAGCTCTGGGAATGGGCATTTTCCCCAGGTCGTCATCTTCTCAATCCTGTCAATGAGGGGAAGAGGATGGCAGGAGGAGGATTTTCCAAGATAACTGGAACGGGATATTCTTCCGGCCTCCTGGGCCAAATGTGGCCTCTTTGCATAGAGGAACTCCACAGATTTGGCCAATCTCCCCTTGAATCCATGCAAGCATCTAGGATCTGCGGCAAGGAGCTTCGCAGCCTCATGCATTGATTTCTAGCTAGCTCCCAATTTCTCCATTTGAAGAGGACACCAATAATTTCATCTTTTCTACTCCTAACTTCACAGTCATCTTCTCTCCAAGCTGATAAATCCCAGCTTGGGCACTTCACCACTCTGGCATCCTTTTCCCAGCACTAAATCCCTCCCATCCATGAGACATCCATAATGCYGCCTTCTTTTCTCAGATCACAGCTCTTGACGTCGTGTCTCCTCGGCCAACACAAGTTATCGAGCCTAAAGTGGCAACAGCACCACTCGGAATCACGGTTTGCTGGGGGAAGATGGACTCCTCCCGGCCCGGGCACAGGGAAAGGTTGTTGTTGCTCAGGCGGGGCTGATAAATTCAAGCTGGGGGCRCGTTAAAACAATCAACGGGCACTGATAAACACCGAGAAACTGATAAACTCCCTCATGAGAGGGAATGATTGCTGGCTCCTGGTTGTGGAGCTCACCCGAGACACGTGCGCATTTCAGCTGCAATCCTTGAGGATCAATCCAACCACAGCTGAAAACGGATGTTCTTTAACCACTCTCCCCCTAGGAAAGCAGGGCTGGGGTAGGCATTGGTGTGGTAGCTGTTGTGCAGGCTGGGTCTAGTCCCCGCCGATCCCCACGGGCTCAGGTTTAGCGCTGAACCCTCTGCACCCACCTTCACCAGAGGATTCGCTGCCACRTTGCTTAGGGCTACTGATGTATCGCCTCCGATTGGGAAAAAATTCCCTTGCCTGGAAAACCAAAGTTGATTTCCTAAGCTTTCTGCTAGAGATAAACAAAACCTCGGGAGATAATGGGATGGCAAAGCACAGAACCCGGCCTTGCTCGCTAGCTTCCCGAGTCGTCAGCAACGCAACACCTTTTTCCCGCAAATCCCAGCAAGGAAAACGCTTTCTGACCAACACAGACATACAAAAACAGGCTTGGAAAGGCGATAAGAACGCACAAAACTCACTTAAAACCCCGCTTAAAAATGCCATGGCTCTTATCTAGTCCCACACGTCTTAATTACTGCAAAGATGCCTAGATTGGCCGGCATGTAATGTCTTCACCGCAGTTTCAAGCTGCCTTCTGAATGAACCAACCTCTGACATCCCCACAAACTCGGCGGGATTTAGCACCTCCTGGGAGCAGCCTGGGCGCTGAGCTGGCCCTGGGGCTCGCCTGGCCCTTGCTGCCCACCAGAGGCTGCCTCCTGGGCAGAGCAGCTCAGCGGTGTGGCTCAGGCCTCCGGGCAGCGGTCTGCCTGCTGGTTTAGCTCTTTAGATAAAAGTATATCGATTCCATACAAATTGCTGAGCTGTCTTTGCAGGGCAATTCTAAGTAAGCAAGTATTGGGCAATTCACCTGAGATTAGCCACATTCTGGCAGGTCTGAAGGGCRCAGGCAGTATCTTAGATGGCAAGTTCTAGGCAAACGCACAAAAAGACATGCTGTTCCAGTGGAAATTCCCTTGGTTTCCTCAAGGGTGCTCTTGGAGGCTGTCAGAAAGCCTTTCCTCCAAAAACGGAGGTACCAAACCAAGCCTACAACACGGTATGGAGGAGCTCCTCGGCCGAGCTGTTCAGGGTTTTATCAGTGAAAGCCATCTCTTTTATCTGAGTATCTGGAAATGAAGACATGCCCTGCCTCTTTGCTAAGTGTACAGAGACCAATTTTATGGTCTATTAAACTGCAGAGCTAGTGCTTTGTTCTGCAAATTCCTGAGCGTCTTATTAGAGAGATCAGCTGGCCCAGGAGGTGCACGGGGCGCGAGCAGACACACCAGAAGCCCAGCTGCTCTTTATCTTGGTGAATGAGCCCTCGCTGTGCTATCAAGCTGACAATCACCTCGGCTGGAAGTTTTCACTGGCGACTCTTCCAAAGCCCTAAGGAGTAGGGATACATGGCGAGGAGGCCCCTGAGGTGGACCCAGACAAAGCCACCCAGGGTCATCTACACCTGGATGCCYTCCAAGACAGGGAGGGTAGAGCAGACTCTTTGCACCTTAATTCTCACAGAATCATTAAGGTTGGAAGGGACCTCTAGAGTTATCCCCCGTGGTGCAGCCCTGGCTGTAAATGCTCTGTAGTTAGAGCAAGTTGAACCACGTGGCAGCCCAGGGTCTCCYCTCGACCTGCTTTGCTGCTCAGCAAGTGACTGAAAACCCCAGGTCACAGCACAGGGAGGAGTCAGGTCTGTCCCAAACCTGCTGATGTGCCCAGGGAGCCAAGGACCTGCTCGTAGAAACGCAAGGTCCCACCATTAACCAAGAAGCTTTGATAAAACAAGTGACCAGAGGATTTTGATCGGAGCAAAGGTGTTTACGCGGTGATAACATCGTTTCCTCTGAATACATGAAAACCCTTTTGCTCTTTCCCTTTGTACTTATTCTAACAGGGAAGTTCTGAGCAGTTCCTTGGGTTTAGACCATCCATGACTTCTCATAAGCTGAATCACAGTTTTGAAAGGAGCAGTTAGGAACATTTATCAGTTGTTTTGAGGTCTGAACTGCAGCCAGTTAGAAAATCACGTAAAATAATAAAAGCTCGCAATAACTTAGGAAGGGAGAATGTTTAAGTTAGGCTTAGCCAAGAACACCTACTAAGCTCACCTTGACTTGATCCTGGAGTAAGTTTAACTAGCCTCTCTTTCTGAAATACCTGCACATTTTCAGAGGAAGCCACCCAGTGCTTTGCAGTATCCACGTGCAGCTACTTCAGCGTGCTGGATCACTAGCCAAGTCCTTTAAGCACTGAGGTGTCTGCCCAAAGAAGGCCGCCTCAGTCCAAGCCGTTCGGCCAGCAAACCGACAAGTGAAAACAGGTATTTTCGCGTTCTCTCTCCAAAGTACAAAGGGCAAAAGCACCGGGCAGTTGAAGCTGGAAGCCTAAAGCAGCTTAACGACTAGCAGGTATCCCTAAAACACAGCCCGAGCCATTAGCCAACCGGCCAAACGCCGCACACGCCCCTCTCCCATGGGAATGCTCTGCGGTGCCGCCAGGCTCTGCGCTGCAGCCCCAGCAGCTTCCTCCTCCCTCGGGCTCCAGCTCCCCACCAGGCCCGTGGGCACCGAGGTCAAGCTCTCGCTCTTGGCCTCACACACGYCGGGTCTCTCACCTACGTCCATCACACCCCAGGTTCTTCCCTCTGCTTGGCTGCCGACTCGTATGATCCACGGCCGCTCGTTCTTGGTSCCTCTAAGCCCGCTGTGCTGGGTGGCCAACAGATTCCCAGTTGGAAGAGGAGGCAAGGTCCAGCCTTGGCTGTGTTAGTCCTGCAGCCCCGCTCGCCAGCACCATCCRGGGTGGGAGGAATTGCTATGGGTTATGGGCCCCAGCTGCCCACGAAGTGCACAGCTCGTACAGAAGTGAAAAATATACCAAACCCTTGAGGAACATTCCAAAACAGCAGCAAAAAAATCACTTATCCTGCAGTGACTATTTTGATTCTCTCCATCTATCCCAACACTTGAGGGGCTCCAGACACTGCTCTTCCATAGTAGTGCTGTTATCAGTACAATGGAGAGCACCCCCATAGATCCTTTTCCACAACAGGAAAACCTGGAAAAGTTTTCACTGTTTCTTCTTCACAAAA